TCTACGGTGCCATACATCTATATTCTGTTCATGTGAAGTTGACAAATATGCATTTCCTTTGACAGTGTTCAATTTGTACATATTATTAATCAGCCTAGCCGTTGCTACTAATGTTTTTTCTGAATTATATATTTCACAGCCAGCTTCATGAAATATTACTTTACAGCCATTTTTTACTAACTGACTGACAGACAACAAGTTAGTGCTCAATTGTGGAACATATAAAATATCTCTCACCTGTATGTGATTTATCTTGCCATTTTCACCAATCAAATCCAGATTAACATTACCAATCTTCTCCACGGCAACTGATGTATTGTTAGCAACCTTTATATTTTGTATCGGAGGTGCCCGGACATCATACATACAGTCAGGCATGTTAGTCATATGTAAAGATGCTCCAGAATCTACATACCATTCCACACTGTTCATATTTTCATGAGCTGCTGAAAACACTGCTGCAAAACCTTTATTATTATTATTATTCTTCTTTTTGTTATTACAGAACTTACTCATGTGTCCATACTTATTGCAGTTGTAGCAACGGGGGCCTGCTGGTTTATTATGCTGATTGCTGTTATAATTTTGTCGGGGGGTAGATTTGTGCTTTGTATAAAGAACAGAGACATTAGACTCCTTAACTTCTTGCATGAGTTTTGTTTTAATTGAGTCTGTGCTTATCTTTATGCCTGAGCTTTCTAATCCCATGATCATAGGTTTGTATTGTTCCGGCAAACCTGCTAACATCAGCGTGCCCAACCATTCATCATCGACATTAAATCCAATGTTTCTCAATTTGTGAGCGGTGCTTACTATTTTATTGACATATTCTTCTATATTAGAACATCCTTCTAATGTGGTATTGACCAGGTCACGGAGTAACCCCACTTTTCTTGTTAAACCTGAATCTTCAAAAGCGTTTCGTAGATTTTGCCATACTTCTTTGGAAGTTTGAGCATCTTGGACGTGTATATAATTTACCGGGTCCACAAGTAGAATTATCTTGGTCTTTGCTTTGAGATCTAGCTTCGGATTTACCGTTACGCCATCGGCAGGTTCAACGCATTCCCACAACTCTTCGTGTTGTAAAAATGTCTGTACTGCAAATTTCCATGTACAGTAATTCTCTCGCCCCAATAATTTGTCTATTTGGACGTTATTCATAGCCATTTTACGTCGGAGCAAATTCAAAAATTGCTTTGTAATGATGGCTACCTAAAAATCAGAGAGAACACTTCGCGGAACTAAAACTTTTTACTAACGGAGTTTCACTATTATTGATTTTAACGTATCATAGGCCCATAACCTGATATAAGTAAAACAAAGGTTAGAAAGTAATTACTAGTTTNGTACCTGGCTCCACCCATAGATGGCGTTTCCATGGGTCCACACAAGTCTGAGTGTATCAGTTCAAGAGGTGCAGTAGCCCTGGAGCCTATATTTTTAAAAGGAAGTCTTGTCTGTTTACCTTTCAAACATGGAATGCAATTATTATTATTACTGTCATTAGTGTTCATTATTTTTACACCCTCTGTACACAATGGCAATTTATTAACATCATTGTAGTTAAGATGTCCCATTCTACGGTGCCATACATCTATATTCTGTTCATGTGAAGTTGACAAATATGCATTTCCTTTGACAGTGTTCAATTTGTACATATTATTAATCAGCCTAGCCGTTGCTACTAATGTTTTTTCTGAATTATATATTTCACAGCCAGCTTCATGAAATATTACTTTACAGCCATTTTTTACTAACTGACTGACAGACAACAAGTTAGTGCTCAATTGTGGAACATATAAAATATCTCTCACCTGTATGTGATTTATCTTGCCATTTTCACCAATCAAATCCAGATTAACATTACCAATCTTCTCCACGGCAACTGATGTATTGTTAGCAACCTTTATATTTTGTATCGGAGGTGCCCGGACATCATACATACAGTCAGGCATGTTAGTCATATGTAAAGATGCTCCAGAATCTACATACCATTCCACACTGTTCATATTTTCATGAGCTGCTGAAAACACTGCTGCAAAACCTTTATTATTATTATTATTCTTCTTTTTGTTATTACAGAACTTACTCATGTGTCCATACTTATTGCAGTTGTAGCAACGGGGGCCTGCTGGTTTATTATGCTGATTGCTGTTATAATTTTGTCGGGGGGTAGATTTGTGCTTTGTATAAAGAACAGAGACATTAGACTCCTTAACTTCTTGCATGAGTTTTGTTTTAATTGAGTCTGTGCTTATCTTTATGCCTGAGCTTTCTAATCCCATGATCATAGGTTTGTATTGTTCCGGCAAACCTGCTAACATCAGCGTGCCCAACCATTCATCATCGACATTAAATCCAATGTTTCTCAATTTGTGAGCGGTGCTTACTATTTTATTGACATATTCTTCTATATTAGAACATCCTTCTAATGTGGTATTGACCAGGTCACGGAGTAACCCCACTTTTCTTGTTAAACCTGAATCTTCAAAAGCGTTTCGTAGATTTTGCCATACTTCTTTGGAAGTTTGAGCATCTTGGACGTGTATATAATTTACCGGGTCCACAAGTAGAATTATCTTGGTCTTTGCTTTGAGATCTAGCTTCGGATTTACCGTTACGCCATCGGCAGGTTCAACGCATTCCCACAACTCTTCGTGTTGTAAAAATGTCTGTACTGCAAATTTCCATGTACAGTAATTCTCTCGCCCCAATAATTTGTCTATTTGGACGTTATTCATAGCCATTTTACGTCGGAGCAAATTCAAAAATTGCTTTGTAATGATGGCTACCTAAAAATCAGAGAGAACACTTCGCGGAACTAAAACTTTTTACTAACGGAGTTTCACTATTATTGATTTTAACGTATCATAGGCCCATAACCTGATATAAGTAAAACAAAGGTTAGAAAGTAATTACTAGTTTATATTGTAAATGGAAAAAGTACAAATCAACTGAATTTACGTTATCGAGAATGACATAAGATATTAGTTCATAAAAAGGGCGCTAGAGGCGAGCGAGTCGTCCAATAACAAAACGCTTCGACGTTTTGTTTCTTTACACGCAGGTTTATGTTCATATTCCAATAATTCATGCATACAATTTGTTTGTAATGTGCGATAATCGAACCCGCAACCTCCGGAATAGTAGTCCGTTTCGAAACACTACACCAAGCGGCCGACTAAAATGCAAGTGGAGTTCTTAGAATCGTTTTCTAGTATTTTTTTATCCACAACGAGGAAGCTCTGAATGAAGTAATACGTTATAAGTTGGATACATAATAAAATTAATTTTCTTTGTTTTTTTTCGTCTTACTTCTTGTTATTATTTTTTTTCTTTCATCTTCTCATATTTTATTTCTTTTTATCCTTTTTTTGTCTTATTCTTCATTCATTTATTCTGTCTGTATTTCATCTTGTTTTTACTATTTTTATTCTTCTTATCTTTCTTCTTATCATAAAGATATTAAATATCAAGAAGAAGAAACAAGAAAAAGTAAAAGAAAACGAAGAAAAAAGAAAATAATAATATACAGAAGATAAAAGAAGAAGAAATAAGACAAAAAAAAACAAGAAATGAAGACAGAAGAAGATAATAATAATAATGAAAAGAACCATGGGAAAAAGAATAAGAATAGAAGACGAAGGAGAAAAGACAATAAAATTAGAAGAAAAAGACGAATACGATGTCACGAATAATAGTTCCAATAGTCTAAATGACAAAATTTCAATTATTTGTCCGTCAGACAGATATTAGAAAATATTAAACTCATATTTTTTATTTTCTTTCATAATTAAATAATAACAGTCCTTCATCGAGTTGAAATGGCGCGTTACGTCACGCTTGAGTAGATTTTTTACTCAAAAGTGACGTCACACGACATTTCAACTCAATATAATACTGTAATTATTAGATTATGAAAAAAAAATGTCTCCAAAATATTTTTATTATCTGTCTGACGGACTGAATAGAATTTCGATTTCATTACCCAGTCAACATCCCTATTAGTGCCACGTTGGACAACCTTATGACATTTACAGCAGGGCGCTACTATCAATACTTTTAGATTTTAGGAAAGTATTGGCATTGGCAAATGCACAAGTGTGCATGCCATAAAAAACAGACTTAAAAAATATCTGTATGGTATGTATTATCTGTGTCAGTGTCAACTTTCTAACTTGTTAAAAGAAATGGTGGCCATCAAAAAAATGGTGGACATCAAATTTTTCGTATCAATTTTCTCGTTAATTATTCGTCGCATTTGGTTTATCATAATATATTTGTGAGGTACATTTGAGGTACTAAATAATGGTAAATATAAGAAAACCATAACTTACCTGTTTCGTCCAATTTCAGCATACACCCGCCAACCTGATATCAGGTTGGCGGCTCATTTTGTAATTTAAATTGTTCCCGTATTAGGGAAGTACAAAATTAATAACTAAAGGTACATAAAGGTACACCTCAGGTATTAAAAATTCATATTTATATTATTCATTTCTGTGACCATACACCCGCCATTCTGACGTTCACCAAATTTTGAGAATCACTGGCCTGTTGACAAGTCGAGCGATAAGGTGATAGTAGTCGAGCATCGAACTGCAGACAGCAACCATTGTCATGATGGTGAATACGACAATGACATCATACCGCGATGAGCTAGAACTACTTAAGTAGGTTCCAATTCTATTGTGATAATAAGTACCTAGTTCATCTAGCTACTACACGGCAAAGTACATAATTATAAAGGCCTCATGATGGTGGATTCCAGTCAAATGGGTGACAAAAAATGTAGTGTCAATAGAGAATCTCGTAACATTTTAAATGCTATGCGTCGGTGTTAATAATACAAGTTTCCATTACATTCCATTTCTATAAAAGTTTATTGGTTAATTGTGCAAGCGATTAAATTATCTTTAACTATGTAAGGTGTCTGTGAATGTGAATAAAATTCAATTACAACTTAGGAGACAATATTTTGTCTTTCGACCGTTTTTTCCATAATTTGGCTTGCCAACGGACACGAACATAACTAGAATGTCATCGACCATCTCGGCTGACCTTCGTGGTGGCCGATTAATTCCCCAATCCAAGATCAAGTCAATAGGTTGCGGCGGCCTTGCGGGGTGACGTAACGCCGCCTGCCATCCTCGGCGCGCGCGACTACACTACCGACCGAGCGTGAGCGCGCGCACCCGTAAACAAACATTTAAAATTCGAACGATCTTCTTTTTAAATTTTTAAATTAATTTCCTTAATCCCCTTTACGTGTCATTTAATTTTGTGCCAGTGTCGTGTATCGATGTGAATGTGATATTGTCATGTGATACCGATGTGTGCTGCTGTCACTGGAGACTGATTGATTGGAAAACAAACGACGATCGGTCTGCTACACAATACAGTCGCGGTATGTTGTTTTTCTTTGTTTTTAATCTTCATGCATGTAGGTAGAAGGTACCTTTTTAAAGATAAGTGTTTTCGTTGATAATGGAAAAAAACAAGGAATCAACCGAATAAAATTGCAGCATAATCAGCCCACTGACTAAACAACGTCACTAATTATGATCTTGGCTAACTTTATAATAAGTACATCTAAAGTCACGAGTTTTTGTCCAACAAAATATAAAATGAACAAATTTTGTCAGTTAAGCATACACATAACGAGTCTATTAAATATTTAAACGGATCACAGACTCGATATTTTGCGTCTTGTTTCCATAATTTAAACAAAATTCGATAAAAAAACTTCATTATTTATACAGGCGGCCACAAAATAGAATTAATTAATGTTAAAATAGTTCGATGACCTCACCTTGGTCCTGTTAGAACGTCTGATAGTGTTTAAAACTTTGTGTTTTTATGTCAGACCACAGATAGTCAGACTTCAATTGTGTGTAGAGTCACAAGCCTTATTAAGGTTTCGATGTGGGTTTTTGTACAACTTGTTATTTTATTGAAATTTTACCTGCATTCAAATAAAAACAAACCAAGTGTCCCTTTGCAGTAATAATTGGGTTATTTAAGTAGGTATGGCAATTAAAAAACGTAGAGCACTTTTCAAATGCTGCGAAGAAAAGCTTATAAATGAGGAAAAGAACGCTAATAATTACAATCATTTAATTTTGAAAGATACTCACTTTTAACTTTCATGCTGACTTGGAACCTAAATCAAATCAATCAGAAGCCATTTACTAATAAACAAAGACGTGTACATTGTTGTTTGTCAATCAATACAGATGAATACGTGCGCAGAATTGCCACTACGAGCTATTGTTTTAATTCCCAATCAATGAACGCAACACCGATAGCAGATGCACTCGCGTGCGCTGTACACAGTATGCAAATGTACGGTGGACAGCACACTAAACTATCCATATTTGTTGTAAAATAGGACATATTACGACTACATAAAGCGCAGTGTTTAGGTTGATGTATCTGTTTATTATATGTGTGTGGAATTTAAATGTCAATAGCAAGTGCAGTCGGCCCATGGCAGATGGTGCATGCTCAAAGTTTACCTGTAGGGAATTTATTTTGTTAGTACGTGCCTGTATACCTGTCTAGGTATAAATGTCGTGACCTTCAAGCTCTTTTTAACTTCTTTAACGATTGCAGATCCTGAACAATTTTTAATCCTGGTGTCAGACTAATAAGCCACAGACAAAAAAAAAACGTGTATAACATTCTCATAGAAATAGAAATAATCAAAACTTAACCAAGTGTGGTCCATGATCGCATAAAAATATTTTTAAAGAGTGACATCTCATTTGACATTCTAACAGAAACCTTTTAACGGTTGCTTGAATTTTAACCAGATGAGTCGTTTTATGATACTGCCAAAACACAAAAGACGGAATACCGTTGTCCTGACCGTAGATCGAAATTGATGAATCATCTATAGAAAATTTTGGAAGTAATGTGACGAAAACATTCGATAAACTCTTAACTTTATAACACTTTCGTTCGTTCGTTCGTTTTAGCCGAAAACGTCCACTGCTGGACAAAGGCCTCCCCAACTTGTTTACAACACTAATGTCCCGTTTAATTCCGCAGCTTCCATGAAAATTAAGATATTGCTTAAATCTTCATTTATATTCAATAGCATGTGTATAGCATTCATTGACTGGACTATAGGTAGATACATAAGAAAGCTAAATAGTTACGTTTTGCCTTTGCCTAACCAGTGCCTGTCACTATATTTGAAGAGTGAAGAAATTCAAAACGTGTTATCAGATTTTATCCTGGGCCTAGGCCCATCATATGATTATCTAGATAATCATACATGACAATATACCTACTGCTTAATACCATAAAATAAAGGGATTGTCACACTGGTTGCGGTCAGGTCAAAGTAAACTCAGCCCATATATTGTATGTTTACTTTGAGCTGACCGCAGACCGCATGCAGTGAGGCAAGTTCTTAAACACAACAACAATCTATCCAAGGTTAATTTTCTTCCAAATGTCAAACAGAGCCAATTAGAAAATCCTAAACAGACAATATAAATTCATGGTTTCAACTGCCTGTGCCTAATTTATAATTGTCAAGTGCTCATCAGGAAGAGTCCTCTCCGTTCTGTAATAAAGCTTCAGAGGAGGTCACAAGGTTGAATTTTAATTGGACAGTTGTAAAAGCTCTACATTGAAGAGTCTCGCAGAGACTCCGGGACTTTTAATAGTTGTAAAATTAGCTGAACTTGAGTACCCGCTTAAGTCTAGAGTCTAGACTCTAGCTAGAGTCTCCACAGACTACAAATTTCTTGTCTGCCGATAGTTTGCTTGGCTTCTAATTTATATAAGAAATGCCTATGTCAAATCAGTGTAATTTGCATACTTTCATACTTGTTCATACTGATTATAAGTCCGATTAAAAACATATCGACCAAAAAAGTCTGTAGCTGTTTGCGGGGAGTCTTAAAGAGATGGTATGGTTCGGGAACCTTGCTCTTTTGTGGTAGGTACGGGCACGCTTTATGTGTTGTACTTATGTATGCAGTTTTATTTTATTATCTATACAACCTGGTTTTATTATCTATGCAAATATTTTCGTGGGATTTCTGTGGTTTGAGTTAGTCGTGATTAAGCTATTTGCGTTTCCTTATCTTCCTAGATCAGACTCAGAACACGCACAGATATTATCACTGGTATAGTGTGCTGTACGAGTACAACACACCCATTAAAATAAATAATCATATAAGTTTGTTCACTAGGAATCGCGTGTTTAATGCTATCATTTCACCAAGCCAAATGATTAATTAAAATTTATTTAGAGATAAAATATGAGAGAAACCCACTCGTAGTTTATTCTTGTCTCAGTGCGTATATGCAGCGAGAATGCGGTTTTCCATATAAGATCACTTCGGCCGATGTACATTTAACTTTCTGACTTTGACACCTTTCTAGAAATTTTACAACTTGGCACTAGGAGAAAAACTTGAATTTCATGTTTCTTAAGCTGCTTAGCATTATCTTAAACTCGTCCTAAAGTAAACAGGTATATTTTGTGATATTTTAAATTAACTCGACATTAACTCTACTTAAGCATTTAAACTGTACAAAATCAGTAAATAAATGGGAAATACTTAGGTACTAGTTTTATAAATAAAAAAGTATTAATATTTCTTTATAGCCTCGCTTTACATAGAGCCGTGCCCTTAACGACACAGTTCACCGCGCTTCCAAAGCGGCTAAAGGTGATCTCGAATAGGCCAAGGCCATAGAAATGGCTCGCATTACTAAAGACCGCTTTATTCAGGCTGCTGGTATACATGATCGTTCATAAAAGCTTCAGTATGATTTGATACTCATACGTACCAGAAGCCATTAGCAAGTACTCATAAATCTTGAATATGTACCTAACGGTATATTACTATCTTGTGTCATCTTACATTGATCAGGCTTGGAAGAGAGATATACCTATAATGATGCAATGTTCGAAATTCACAGGTTTTAAGAGAAACATTAACTATCTTCTATCTTAATTATAAAAAATATTAATTACTTTCACTTTCATCATCATCATCATCATCATCATCATCATTTCAGCCATAGGACGTCCACTGCTGAACATAAGCTTCCCCCAATAATTTCCATAATGGCTGATTGGTAGCGGCCTGCATTCGGCGCCTTCCTGCTACCTTTATGAGGTCGTCGGCGGTTTCACTCATCAACTACGAACTAATTTAAATTGCTACAAACATATGAGTACCAATATAGATGTAATAATGAAGACAAAAATCTTTCTCTTTATCAACATTGACTGTAAAACCTAGCTTTAGAAACTTTAAAGGCCAATGTGTAACCCACTTAATTTTAAGCTGCATGTATCAGACAATGTATGTTTCTTTAAGAAAGATAAATAAATAAAAGAAAATAGTGATAGTGGCTCTATAGCATCGCTTTATGTGGAGTGTTGCCCTTAATGGCACAGTTCGCTGCCGGTTCCAAAGGGTGAAGTCCTGAATGGGCCAAGGTTATGAAAATGGCTGAAGCTCTATAGAACTAATCGTATAAGCTGTAAGACGCTTTATTAAGCTTGCTTTCACAAAAGGATGGGTGAGCAGAGTCAAATTATACGTGTAACGAGCGTAGGTGTGGATATATTAGGTACGTGTTAGGGGTATAAATCGAATACTGTGGCTTATCTATGTCGACATCTATATTTATAAAAGCGTAAGGTCACTGACTGATTGACTGACTGACTCACTAACTCATCACGAAATCTCAGAAACTACAAGTGCTAGTTTCAAATTTTACATGGAGGTTTGGCATTGGGGGTTCCTTTTAGAACGTAGGTGCTCACTAAGACAGGATTTTGCAAAATTCAACCTCTAAGGGGGTAAAACGGGATCCACGCGTACGAAGTCGCGGGCGGCCGCCACTTTATTAAATTATAATTTCATGACAATAGGTGTAATTTTTTTTTTCACGAATCAAAGAATTAAAAATCAGTCATTAAAATACATGGGGTCAACGATATTCATGAAATTCATGAAATAATTACCTAATTAACTTACCAAAAAACAGAACTTATTTTTTTCTGTTGATAAAAAAATAATAGACCATATTTCTGTTACATATTATTACTTATAAGTAACAAAGAGAATCACGAGTGATATTAAAAGGATTCGGTTTTATCAAAACCTACTTAATTCTTTAAGGGAAAGGGAATAATATTCCAAAAGGGAAAAGCAAATCGAATCTACAACTTAATGGTTACTAACAGGAAGTTTATGATATGTTCTCTCCACACTTAATAAGTTAATACCCATTAATGTCTATCCATAACTTAAATCGATACATGGATACAGTATCCCTCAGGTCCCATGAAATCGAGTGGAATTAATTCAGGCCAAATATAGCACATCCCATAGTAACCTCGGAAGTCGGAGCTAACGGTGGTGCGTGCATGGTGTTCTGCAAGCGTTAATTAAAACCGTTAATTATGCTCCATTGACTAACCCCTAACTTTCTTGGGACTTAATGTGCAATGTTAAGTAGCTAAAAGCTGTAAAGATGTTAAGCCGTGACACCTTTTGTTAAGGTTGACACTGCAAAAACAAAATGGCATCGTGTTCGCAATAATAAATGCATTTTTGGTTTCTTGTTTTATGTATTGTTTCGGAGCAAGAGCTTTTTTTCTCAATAAATGAAAAGTGATGTTGTGAAATTAAAATTAAAACTAGGAGTCGTTATGTGTTGCAATTTTTCAGCTACTCTTGATTCAGTATTGCAGGTAATTATTAACAATTTTAAGATTTCAAGAGAGTCTGAGTGATAACTGATTATCCTTAGATGAAAACTATTGATATAACATTTTCATGTTACCTTATTTTCGAAAATCCATTGACATTAATTTCGCCTTGCTGTTGCAAGAGTACCTACACCTAGGTTGCAACAACGCATCGTGTGCATGTATCATCATAATATTTGAAGATGCAGAGTTATTTTAAACATAATAACACAACCTCTTGAGTGTTTGATGATACTGTACTGCGCATTGTAATTGAAACTTTATAAATAGCCCTATAAACTGTATTTATTAATACTAGCATGTGCCCGGGGCTTTGTCCATCTTTATTCCGTCTAACACAAAAAGTATTTAAACGTGCGGGTTCCCCTTCCAAAAACCAGGATAAAAACTATTCTATTTTTTTCCCTGGGTAACTATCAAATTATTGCTGATTTAGGCGGAGATTAACATACATTCATCCATCCATTAAAGGTAGAAGGAAGGCGCTGGATGCAGGCCGCTACCAAGCCAGCCATTATGGAAATCAATGGGGAGGCCTTTGTTCAGCAGTGGACGTCTTATGACTGAAATGATGATGATGATTCATCCATCCATCCTCAGAAACTTTCATATTTTATATTGAGTAGGATTTTCAATTGACGGGTTTGGTTATAATGTGTGTTACGTCGACATACCCTTTGTTCTTGCCCCGCAGCGCGGAATGGGAATGGAACCGTGGACTTGAACTCGTGGGATAGTTCATGAGTTCACTCCACTCACTCGGAACAATAAATTTCGATACCCTCATGTTTACTTTCTATTTATAAACACGGTGTACTTATAGTACTCATTATGACAAAACAAGATTTATTAAATAATACTCGTAGTTACTAGTGTGGTACTAGAGTTCTCTCTAGTAAGCAAGAATGCATTAGTGGCTAACCATCAACCAAGAACCATATTCGTATAGTAAGTTGTTTGGTTAGAATGAAGACTTATGATGCCTTTAACAAATATATTTTAAACTGATATAGCGAAAGGTCACGACGAAAAATTTTTTTCGTCGTAAGATATTATACATAATCATACTAGCGACCGCCCATCACTTCGTAAGCGTTCATCCCGTTTTACACCTTTAGGGGTGGAGTTTCGTAAAATCCGTTGCTAGTGAGCACCTACGTTCTAAAAGGAACCCCATGCAAAATTTGAGACTCCTAGCACTATAGTAGCTTCTGAGATTTCGTCATGAGTGAGGCAGTCAATCAGTGACCTTTCGCTTTTATAGATTTTCGGTATATGTATTGTGAATATTGTGCCTTTCATGTGATATTGTGATCTAAAGGTCACCCCAATAAAAGGTAACCTGCGTAGGCTGAACACCTGGCCTATTTTCAAACACTAAACATTCCAATCACACAATCTACGCCAAATTAATCTGTTATTAGTATGCAAGCCTCGCTCGCCGCCCGACGTCACTCATTATGTGCGATTGTGCCGTAGATTTGTCATTATAGTGTTTGTGAGGTCATTGAATCTTTCATAAACAGTACCTACCTACCTAAGTAATCATAGTAGGGTATTATTAGAGTTCTACGCATTCTTTAAGAATAAAACCCCACATTTCTAATTAGGTAGTTTGTCTTTCTGACCGGTTGCCATTGATACAAGTAAGCGACTTCTTCAGGGGCGTTATAGCTTTATACCGCTCTGTCAGCGCCGTATCAATTATACATCCCGGGCTACAGGACCAGGGCCGATATTTTTCGAGTTAGGTAATTAGACAATAGAAAACTGCCTAGAAAAGTTTTATGATTTTTTAAGTATCCTTTTTAGAAAAGGGGCCCCTTGATCTAATGACCTTTTTAGATAAGGCCCCCAAAAATGTTTGATAAATGGCCCGTCTAAGGCACGCTACCTACCTACGCTACTAGACTTCGTAGTAAAATTGTTGAGTAGCTAATAGGGATATGTTTCACTCACCCGAAGTCCTTAACCACTAGCTGTCTTCCTTATGAATCATGATAATAATTACTTGTATTATTTCTTTCAGAATCTGGCATGACATCTTACTGGGAAACATGACGAGAAAATTCCTCTTTTGTTTTCCCCTGCGGGCAGGAAATATTGTTTTTGGATACATTGTTATTGTAAGTTACCACGTTATTACGAGTAACTAAGATAAATGTAATTATTTGGGTAAAAGTAATACTGAGTGGTTTATACGAGCATACATTTGAATATTTGTGATATTGCTAAACCAGTTGTGGAAGGCGTTGCCAAGCTTCAAGTTCTAAGTCACCAAAAAAACATAATACAAGTAACACTGCATGGCTATCTCTTTTCAACCGACTTCAAAAAAGGAGGAGGTTCTCAATTCGACCCGTATGTTTTTTTTTTCTATGTTTGTTACGCGATAACTCCGCCAATTATGAACCGATTTGAACAAATCTTTTTTCGGCGTATAGGTAATACCTCAAGGGTGGTCCCATTTAAATTTGATAATAGAAAAAACAACCCCCAAGGGTGGAAAATTGGGGATGAACTTTTTATACGCAATATCTCCGCCGATTATTAATCAATTTGAACGATTATTTTTTTGTTGAATAGGTATTATCAAAAGGGTGGTTTCATGCGAATTTGAAGAAAATATTTCACCCCCAAGGGTGGAAAATTGGGGATGAACTTTTTTATACGCAATATTTTTAATTTTTAGTTTTTTTTTTGTGTTCACGCATTTGAAGTCGGTTTTATTTTTTAAAAAAGTTAATTATTTTTTAAAGTTAAATAATTAATTTTACTCGTAATCATAGTTGTTACTTAGGAGTTATTAATTTCTTAAAAGTCGCATCTCAAACTATTTTACGTATTTACCTAAACAAGCACTTGGCTGGCGCAAAACCAATAAATTTTCATAATCTCCACAGACGATATGCATAGCGGTGATCGGCTACAACCTATACGAGCTAGGTCTCACTCTCATCTCGCACGAGAACGAGCATGACGACCGCTTCAGAAACTTCGAGAACCTCGAAAGCATCTTCGGGACCTCGAAGACCGAGCTGGTCCGGACCGTCAGCATGGCGTACAGCATCAGCTACATCAGTATAGGACTCGCGCTATTACTGTTTGCTGTTTTATTCACTTGCGGTGCTTATAAGGTGAGACCATTCATTTTAATAGGTACCTACTTACATTAGATTAATTTTTTCGACCTCTAACGTATCAGGGAAATACACAGTTGGGAAAGTGGGAAACCAACACAGACGCTCCTGAAAAAAATAGTAATACTTGCCTCCTCCGTTGCTAACATCCTGAATAGTGATTAGAAGACACATGAAACAACCTAGAAGAGGGAAGTAAAATAATAAGAGAGGCAAATAAAAAACATCTATTCTAAAACCTCATTTTTATAGTAGCGAAATAAAAAAGTGAATTTCTATTATTAATTACTAACAACAAAACGCTTTCTAGGATGCAAAAACTAAACGTGAATCGTCTACACGTTCCAATGTACGCATTACGCACAAATGTCCCATTGCTTATTTTGAAAAAAGAAAGAAAGAAAGAGAAATATTTTTATTTAGTCCAATTATTATTTGTTATTGTGTTTAAGCAAAATAATGGTAAATCCAATCAATAGGCCATTAAATACCAAAATAGTCAGTTTTGAATTAAGCTGTAAGATTTTATAAAAGATCAAGACAAACGACAGGAGAAATAACAATACCGCAAATGGAACGTTCAAACGTCAAACTGACAGTTTAAATGTCAAGGTTGGTTGTTGACCAACTGCACCACAGATATGGATTAGAGAACTGCACAGATTGTGGTTGTTGTGTTGTGATTGTTGCGTTCGCAGCAGATTTCTTAATTTCGTGGTTTCATAATAATTTATTTAACGACTCGACATTGTTTAAGGATTAATAACGTTAATAGATTTTGTTAAGATGAGTATTCGATGTGTAAAATGTAGTGTACGACTATCAAGTCGAATTAAACGACACCGTTTATCAGATGAAACGGAGCAAACATTGGAGAGCGCCAGGAAATGGTTGCATCCTCAGGTTGTAAGTATACCTTTTAACCTATACCTAAAACGTCTACCTACTTCAATGACGAAAAGTTGTATTTACCTACTTAGTCTTATTACTGTGTTTTCATTACCGAATCAAACTGACTTGTCCCGATAAGGCGAATATTTTTATTATGTTACTAGCTGGCCCGGCGAACTTTGTACCGCCCAGTCAATAATGTATGACATGACATGTCAATTACCGTGAACGGCATTGAAAATACCTGAGTTACTTAAAATATTCTTTTCTGAAGTTCATTCATTCAGTCCAGTAGTTTCAGTACCTATTCAATGAAAATACAATTATAAATCTTTTCTCTTTAAAATATTAGTGTAGACATGATTGAGCAACAGTCATAAACTATACATACGAATCATTAATAAACAATTTAATTTCTTTTAGTTGGCGGGTGAAGAATATCTATGCCATGCATGCTACTGTCATATGTGGGAACGAATAAACCAAGACAGTGCACAACCACTGTCTGCAACGATGGGACTCAACGTGTGTGTTATATGTAGCAAGTCAATTTTGGGAATAAGGAGTCGCAAGCTCCTGGGAACAGAGAAGTCCAAACGAGGAAGAATTGTTGCTTATACTATTGCAGAATGGATTCACCCTCGTGAGGTAACTACGTAACATTGATTGTAATAATGATAGCTTTCATAGAAATCATTTTTCTAGTTTTTGGGCATTCCAAAATGGAGAAATCTATATTTACAGTTAGTTAGTATAGCCCATTTTTAAATAAAATAAATATTTATCTCTATTTTTTTTTACTTTTGTGGTATTTGCATACAACAATCAATACACAGAATCAAAAGGAGTCTTTAAACAAGCAAAATCTGGTTCTAGTTCTAGTATTAAAATAGATGATATTATAACATTATTGTTTCAGCTACAACCATCCGATGGAGTGTGCATACCATGCTGGTTACGAGCAAAGCGAGCCACAAATAAAAGTCAACAAAATAATCGAGCAGAAGTAGTGCAAGAGAGATCATCTAACACAGCAACTGCAAGTCCTACTTCACTATCACTTGAAGCACCCAAACTATTGGCTCACATAAAATTCTAAATCATATTCTTTGTCTTACTACCGATTTGTGTTCATAATAATCTCTCTTCATAATTTTATTTTTCATACTTTTTTTATTCATACATTTTTATTACTACCATCGGAGCTCATAACAGTTAGTAATCATAATTTTTTTATTAATACTGTTACTACCAAGAACCATTTAAATACATAATTTTTATTTTCAGATCTTTTTTCTTCATAACATTCATTGATCATATTGTTTTCATTAATAATGTTGTTACTAAGAACATACTTCAACTCATAATGTTGTTGTTCAGAATAATTTACTTTATAACAGACATACTCGTATCTTTAAAAAAAATCATATATAATTTAATAGAGTAGATAAGCATGCAGAGCATGCAGCATGAAAGCAAGCATGCAGCATGCATTGGTATCTCCTCGTCTCCGGCGCTGCGGGATGTGCAGCCCTTCCGCCCTTGCGTAACGAGGCTCAGGCACCCACGCTTGCTTCCGCAGCTTCGGCTTTTTGGATCGCCATCGGCGCCTTCGGCGCCTCGGCGACCAGCCTCAGCCGCTCCAGCTCACCCGGGCGCCTGAGCCTCGTTACAGCGGGCGAGGGCTGCCCTCCCTCCGCGCCTCCGGCTTTTAAATTACACTCTAGGGGTAGGGCAGACAAGACTACGTGGAGTCGGTTTTGCAGCGATTCGTTTCTGTCACGTTAGTTTTGTGGCACAAAATATTGCCTGTTTTGGACCATTTCAAATTAATTTAATGTTAAAATACGATTTAATACGAATATAGACATCATGATTTTCAATAATATGGATAAATACACTTATGAGTAATAAATTTATGAAAATAAATATTAGGATACATCACATTTATGAATATTATAGTTATTTATTCGAATGATTATGAGTTTCGATCATTAGTATAGAAAAATATATGAAAACAAATATTAGTAAAAACTAAGTGTATGATTAGTGATATTATGAATATCAATGATTATGTTTTTAAATAAGTAGGTTTTAATTTTTTTATGAAGAATGATCATTATGGAATCAAATTGTATGAGAAATATTTTCGGACCTCCAATGATAGGAATTGAAAAGTTATGTAAGAAAATGCGCTACCGCTGCCAACACTAAACGGTGCTTATTTCTGAACTGTAACCAAAATCAGGAAAAACGTCAAGTTCCCGATTCAGTCAGGAGAAGAGTGTTGACTGATTTTAATTTTTACATTCCAACAAGTGCCAGGATCTGCACATATCACCTGAGTAGCAATTTATATAAAGATTTGAATACAGCTGAAAACGCTATGTCAACATTCACTGCTGAATATGTGGAAGATATGGTGTTTCTTCTTCGTGAAGTCAAACAATTGGACTTCACGCATGCTGAAGACATCGATGATCACCTATTCAAATATTGGTTTGGAAGAACTAAACAAGAATATAATGAAATAATCTCACAATTCCCACGACTTAATGATTTAAAAATTAAATTAGGACTAAATGCACTGCTCTGTAAAATGAAAACAGGAGACAGTACTGAACGCATGTCAGCACTTTTCCAAATACCAAATCGGACATTAGGTGGCTATATGAATCGCGCAAGAGAAATCCTTCTTCAGGATTACATTCCAGGTTATTCAGGGTTAGCCCACATTTCAAGAATGATTAATGTTCTAAATAAAATGACTGAGTAGGTAATTATGTAATGTTTTTTATTTAACACCCTAATGGCCTTGCTGCATGATGCAGAGGCATGCAATACATATTCATCATCACATTATTATCAACTAGTCGCTCTATGAAATGTTCTAGTGTTCACCCTTTCATGAACCTTACGTACATTTTACACGTAGTAATATTATACCTACCTACCATTCGATTCGTAAGAACGTTACTACATTACATAGAAATGCTCTAGTCTAAACTCACCTTTAGGATTGAAACTAGGGCATGTAATATCGGAAGGTTTTCAATTCCGATATTGAATTCCGATATTAGATCTCAATATCGGAATTCCGATATTAATATCGGAATTGAGTTCATGTGCTATAAAATTAATATTTGGTTATATTCGTAAGAATTCTGGATTGTTTACAATAAAATAATGATTGTAATCAAAATCTTTAATTTGGTACAAAACAGCACTTCATAAAATTGAAGTTTTAAAACCATTTTTACGTTATGGGTATCCATTTCATTTGGTTTTTTATGTGACAAGAGGCAAACGAGCAGACGGATCACCTGATAATGAATGGTTACTGATAATGAGCTTATATGGACTAGCAAATAATTAAAGTGTTTTTGTAAAATCACAGGTATCAAACAAACTTTTACTCCTTCATTATATTACCCTGTTTTAAGTTGGCGGAACGAATTTTAGAGTCATTCAAATCACGTGCTACAAAAATTGTAGAGAGTGGTAAAAAACTTGAATATGCTTGTAATTTGTTCCTTTTTGATTATCGATGTACAACTCACAAAACCACGGGCCATCATCATCATCATGTCAGCCATAGGACGTCCACTGCTGAACACAGGCTCCGATAATGATATTCACAATGGCCGGTTGGTGGCGGCCTGCATCCAGCGCCTTCCTGCTACCTTTATGAGGTCGTCGGTCCTCCTTGTGGTTATGAGTCCTACGCTGCGCTTTCCGGTACGTGGCCTCCACTTCAGAACCTTGCTGCCTCATCGTCCGTCTGTTTTGCGTACTAAGGCAGAACAGTTGGAAGACCTTATCACAATGCTCGAAGACCTTAATCAAGTTTCCCAACAGGTAGGCCTTCGGATGAAAATGGAAAAAACGAAGCTTATGTCGGATGTCCATGTTGCTCCTTACCCAGTTTCGGTTAGGAGCTCGATTCTCGAGATTGTTGACAAGTAAGTATATGTCTATCTCGGACTCGGACAAACGATCAGCTAGGTAGTTAGATGCAATTTCGAGAAAAAGGTAAATCGTCTAATACGAAGACAAGTCTTCAATTAGTGTGTGTTACCAGTGATGATGTACGGCTCGAAAACGTGGCCTTTGAATATAGGGCACAATGTGCTATGGAGAGGGATAAGCTTGGTGTTTCTTTACGAGATCTAATCAGAAATGAGGAGCTCCGTAAACTAACTAAGGTCGCTGACATAGCCCGACGGATTAGCAAGCTGAAGTGGCAATGGGCAGGGCACATAGTAGTTAGTACCTACGCAGAACTGACGGTCCATAGTCCAGTAAAATTAATGTTTGAAAGGGAGTTGAGATGTCGTTCTTTGTTGACCAAGTACCTACGGCAAATGCTAAAATTGATTTAGAACAAGTTAAATTAACCATAAATAGTAAAGATATTAAAATATTTGCAGTGGAACAAAAAGTGATGGTGAGAGACATGAGAAAATCATTGGTCTTTGCCAATCATGTACTTTGGGCTTTGTGGCAGGTTGTGGCGAGTTTAAACGCTTTGTTTAAAATCTCAATTAAAACTTTTATCTGATTCCGATATTACGATATTGGGTCGCTCAATATCGGAATTGAAATATCGGATCTCGCAGTCCGAGATTCCGAGATTCCGATATTCATGCCCTAATTGAAACTATTGATCGCATGTAGGTAAGTTGTTTTAGGTTTTTATATCAATTTATTTTAAAAGTGAAGCGTTTTTGTGTCGCGTCGAGCGTTTTTATCATAAAAATAATATGATCATACTACCAATTACTTAATACAAAAAGTTCGTTAGATTTTTTAACTTACGACCAATTATAAAAATAGTATCCGCAAACTTTTTTATGTTTCGTAATCTCACAAATATCAAAACTAATGGATATGGGTACAGTAGTGCCACTTTCTTAGATGATTGAAGTTTTTAACAAAGCTTTTATAATGTAAGCTGATTGAAATAAAATGACTTCTTATTTCTACTATTTTCTTACGACAATGAACTGCTTCTGATCAATACTATTGTGCTTTAATAGCATTTATTTATAACGGGAGTTTATTGAGACACTTCCTTTTGTCTCTCACATAATACAGGTCTTTAGGCATGAGTAGAGCAATGAGTCATGTTGCAAGCTAAGAGTTTCTTTTAGTGTTGCCTAAAACGCACTTTTTAAATACAGATTTTCGTCTTTTTACCCGACTGTGCCAGAAGGAGGGTTATGTTTTTAGCTGTGAACACAATTTTGTCGTGGTGAACTTCCTAATGCCTTCTGTTAGTAGTTGATTAAGTAGTCCTACTAACTACTTACGTGTTTGAATAATTGTTTGTCCCTAAATGCTTAGGTTGGTACCTCTACTGTAACTAGTTACATTATGTCAAATCGATCTGCCCCAATAAGAACTTTCCTATTTTCCCATCACGAATCAATGTGTCGTGTTTACGCAACACGGAATCGAAGTGCACAATGAACTTGTAAAAAACCACCAAACCATACTGACCACTTATAGTTGCGCAACTAAACCATTATGAGATAACGTCCGCATCATACGAACGTACCGGAAAATTGCCACAAAAAAATTGAGTAGGGTGACCACCAAGCACACTACGGAGAGACTCGACTTAACGCACGCACTCGATTAGGACACACTTGTCTTTTTTAGCTGCAGCCCTTTTATATAATTTAAGGAGAGGAGAAGAAAAATTACTACATCATTGGTTCACATAGACACAGGCCTAGTCCTAACGTATTCACAACAACAAGTTAAGTCATCAAATTATTTAGTCTAAATTACTGTATTTTATATTATCCTCATCATCATTTAACAGCTGATGACAATCAGTGGATTGTGTCTGGAAGCAGTGGCTTAACTTAGACCTCCCTAGCCACTATCTCTTTTTCTGAAATACAACAGTAGAGCTACGTAAATCAATATTTTTAATGTAAATCTGCTGTCCCAATTGTACGTAAATCAAATTATTTTTGGATGAATGTGAGACTATCACAGCATTATGTCCGCCTATCAACAACCGCATGGCCGCCCTACGCAACTGACAACCCACAATCTGATTGCAGGCCAACCAGTGCTTAGTGAGCACTTTCTTCGTGTACAGTTTCTTCCACCTGTTCTTCAGCGTGGCGCTGATCGTGTGGGAGGCGCTGTCCGCCGGCTGGATACAGCTGGGGCTCATTGCACTCTTTGATTGTAAGTATAGTGTGTTACTGGCATTAGGTTGAAAGTTTTAATTACTATTCATTATTAAATCATGGTCTTGATGGATGACAACTTTTTTAAAAGGATTAATTAGCGTTTAACCGCAACTTTTCTTACATGAATTGGGTTTTCATTGAAAATATGAAGACGAAATTTTTTAAAAGAAGTGTTGGTATGTGAGTAACCAAAATAACTAACTGGTAACTCCTAGCTCTCCGTATCGACTTTTATAGAAGCGCATTAAACATACGATTGACTACTATTTATTGTAATTTACATGCAATAAATGACAATAGCCCTAGGGTAAAGATGTCTTACTGGACGACTCGAGGCCGGGAACGCGGGTTCGAGCCCCGCCCCCACTGGACTATTGTGGTGAACTCGCTCGTAACACAAGCATTTTAACCCCTCGTGGGTTAGATTTATTATATTCTTAAAAAAAGCTTGATAGCAATACCTTTTATTTTTGCAGTTCTCCTGATAGTTTGCCTGTTCAGCGTAAAGTATCTCATGGAGGCGATCCGCACTGGCCACATCTACAGCCGCCCCGGGGAAGTGCTCTACAAGTATTGACATTAATAAGATACACGTTATAGAACAATAAGAGAGACATCTTCTTAAAATTTAAGCAACTAACGCCCGTATTCACAAACATTACTATGAGGTCTCACAGTGCGCGTAGACGCACACACACATACGCAGTGGCGGGGCAAGACCTAAATTTGATGTGGGCAAGACAGATTTCGCGAGGCCTTGTTCTGTGGCGACCTGAAGACGGATTTTATGAAATAATAAAAAAAACGGGTCAATGGTTCATTGACAGTTTCTGATTTCTTGATTCAGTGATTATTTTTAAAGGAATTTTGCGCCAAAGAATAATGTTTGTCACTTAAAACCGTGTTGTTGCTTAATTTTGTGTCTGATTATGGCTGAATTTGTTTGGAAAAAAACAATTTTTTATCTACATTGTTTAGCTATCAATAATTTATATTTAATAGTCAATGTTTCAAAATTTTTGATGCGCGAGGCCCCTTGTTCCGCGAGGCCGTAGGCGGTGGCCCACGTCGCCTACGCCTTACGCCGCCACTGCACACACGAACCAATCACAGAGCTCTATTCAACGCTTCACTTAAGCAAGCATCGTTTGTGAATACGGACGTAAGAACGTCCAATGATGAGAACTTCTGCATGGTTATTATCAAACAAAATACCTTCCAACGTGTACTTAATTGAAATCACACAAAACTTTTAGATCCGCTAACTGATTTTAGTAAGTGAGTAGAGACCAAGAAAAACACAGTTTGATTCGATTATAGTGGAAAAGTGCTCATTGCAGCATCTTGTATCAAATGTTTTGATAACTGTTTGCGATTTCAAAATAAATGTTATTTTTTAGGGTTAAGTAGGTACTCTAAGTCTCTAACATCGCGGAACATCGCTCTACATAGTAGTGCTTAGTTTACTTCCAGTTGATAGAACAGAATAATTTATCCTAATTACCATAAACTTTGTTAGAAAACTTTACCATATCAATTATTCCCTATCTGTGATGGTATCCTATGTATTAGATGAAACTATTTCGTATTTTTATACTTGTTGATCACTATGCTAATATTATTTGTATGTAAGTAATTATAGGGAAAGAACATCACGTGTTGATTGCACATTCCAATTGAAAAACAAACCCAATATTTTTGTATCGACTAAAAGTGCATGTTCTTGCCATTTTTGTTGACCAATTTAGTCTCGAATTAAAGTGTTAGATTAATTAGGTATAACTACTTACAAAGAATTGAATTATATGTATTTATAAATGTAAACATCTTTTTAAGTGGTCAATATTTTTGTATCAATTAACGTAAAATTATTAAATATCTACCTAAATCAGTTATGTATAATAATTTCAGTGTACTTATCGTTTATTGAAATATTTATTTAATCACTGTTCTATTTAACTTTAATTTTAATAATGAAAGATTAAATAAAATAATCAAACACCAATTCTTTGAAATTCTTTATCTTTTTCACATCTTCCTTTCATAAATTAGTAAATAACAATTACATTCACACATAATATCAAATCACAAAACGTAACGTAATAATTTATTTACAATCACAGCAATACAAAATTAAATTAAACTAAATAATAAATTACTTATGGTATTAATTACTAATCTATTGGTTTTGGTAGAATATATTGTCTAAATTTGATGCCTCGGAAGGTCTGACGTCTCGTCTCCGCCGCCTCCTGCCCAGCATCATGGGGACTACCATGGCCATGGTGGCTGGAACCATACCGGCTCCAACTGCCGCCAATATCGTGGAACTGTCAGGGCCAACATTAGTCCCGACCCTCCTCCGAATCATTTTTGTCCTCAAAGGCTTATTATTTGACGACGCAACATCCAAATCTAACTTTTTATCCAAATCTCGTTTCGACTCTTCCACAGTTTGGAAACTCTTTTCTACTTCCAGCAAACCTCCGTGCGAAGTCGTCATGTTTGTGTGAGCATTGTCTATGGGCAGCACGGTCAATGCCACCGCTTGGTGTGACGTCACGGAACCGTAATTTGTGCTATCATCTGTCGGCGGCATGTTTAGAGATCTCTGGCGCTTCTTGTTTCTGTAACCTTTCGTTGTTGAAAGGAGCACCCACTGGCCATCACCGTGAGGGGGTCTTGATCGGTCACTGTCAAGTTCAGGAGAGCCCGCGTACACCACTTGCGTTGGCCTCCTGTAAGGACGCTTTTGAATGGTCGCTTGGTGGAGCGCCTCATACTCGTAAGGGAAATGGGAAGGACGGTGGTCTGTCACTACTGAATCCGATAATCCATAATATACCCCATCGTCATTTCCGTTGTTATCGTCGGAATCACAACTAGGCTTGTTAGGTCGACGGCCTTCATCAGGAGACCATGACGCAGGGTAAGCTGAAGACGGTTGGAGCTTATTCCATGTTGGTCTCGAAGGCACTTCACTTTCATATTCAGAAGGCATGTGGAATTTGTTATTAATGTAGCCTGGACGATTCAAAGATGGTTTCTTTTGTGGGTAGCTGTAACTATTGTCCATTTCTTGGTAAGGTGTGTATCTATCATCACTAGGGAATCTATCATCATCGTCGTTCCAATGATTTGGCTTTTGCTTCTTCACATTAGGTTTCCACTTAGATATTTTGCTTGTAGACCAAGCTACCGGCTCCAAAGTTACCCACCCATCCTTATCATCATAGGGATGCTTATGTTGTTTCACTTTAAGTCTATTCCACGTGGTGTACACTTTTCCATTACTATCATCATCGTCATCACTATTATCCTCACTATCCATGTAACTAACTCGATCAGCTTTAAGTTTCTCTTTCTTCAATTTCGCAGCTAAAGCAGTGATGGCTTGAAGTCGGTCTGGAGTAAACTCTCGATAGTCGTTTAACTTTTCCTCTGGTGTGAAGTCTTCGAAACCATCGTGAGGTCCTTCGTCGCCATTAAATCCATCTTGGCACGAAGGTCCGAAACAGCGCGGAGTATTTCCAGTCACGTCATGAACAATGTGTGTCATTAGGTTCTTTATATCCACGTCGTCGTTCAGGTCGACTGGAGCATCCTTCCACTTCCGGTCATCATCTGTGGCCTTCTCGATGATTGTGATGGGGTCTTTCCCGGGCACATCTAGTTTGTACGTCTTAACTTTGTCTTCGTATCTTTCGAGTTGGTCGTTGGGGCTGGCGGCGGCGAGGGTGAGCACAAACGCGAGCAGCACTGTCATTTTCATCGTTTTCACTTTCATCGGACCGCGAGCCGCGCTGTGTCCGCGCGGAGACTGAGCGCCGGCGGCGGCTGGCGCCCGCTGATATAGTTTTGATTGTGGATGCACAACGATTCCCTCCCTGCGCTCTATGCAGTGGTAATTCAGTTCGGTCACGACGAATGAGCGAGATAATTATGTGGCGATTGTCGTTTGCAGGCTTAATCTTAATTGACTATCACAACTCTCACAGGGCCGTGACCCCAGTAGGTGAAACCGTTTTTCATTTTGTGTTTTCACCGAGAATAATAGGTGAAAATGAATAGTTTCCCACAGTGCCCGAAGTTGGTGACAGAAACATATTATTTTGTGAAACGCTAAACACGAATGCGCAAATGTTAAGTTTTCGCAACAAAAGGCAAAGTTCGACGTCAAAAGTTATTTGTTATGTGATGTCTGTTTTTGTTACGTTCATGATAGAATTTTCTAAATATTTACTTCCCTATTATACGAATTTGTTGCGCAAAAACTGTGTGAACCATTGTTTTTGGTTGAAACAGTAGTTAATACATCACATTAATTCTTCTTCCATCGCATTCTCATCCTACCAATCACCATGCATGAGCAGTAAAAACTGTGAGCAACACATAATTCCTACCAAAAAAGAGACTTTTTTCTTGAAATCTTTGATCGTCAGAAAACAAAAACGAGACATTATTTTCTTCTAACTCATAATTTAGTAATATCTGTCGTTTATGTCCGACACACGCCAGTTCCACTTCCGTGACCCAAAAGGCGACTCTCTCTTATTATCCCTATCTTGCCTCAGATCAACGCTCTAATTGCCCATGCGCAGGTCTCGTGCTGTCGTCGCACTAATCATAAATGAAAGCTTTGTTTGTTAAAGACGTGTATCCGTCTTCGTTATTAGCGTTGGTTTTTTACGCTGCTCTTAACGATGCAAAATTTTCCTTTTTTTGGATTTATTTCTGACGCTTTTGATAATATAAGTGAAAGAGATATCGGAAATTACAGAAATCATTAATAGGAAGTAGGAGGTACTCCTCCTGTTATACTATACCTACTAAGTTCCCTGAAAAGCATCAGGAATCCAAAGGTATTCCTGAAGCGATTATGGTACCTACATAGCGTATAAGGTATTAGATTCTAGCCGCCCAGTATTCTATATTTTCTTATAATTTTCTACGGAAAAATCTCATAAGAATTTAGATAATGTTTTCAAATAATAAGCGTTAAATAATTAGAGCTGAATGCAACAATTTCGTAAGTGTCTTATTTCTCCAGATTAGATAGTTTTCTTTTTGTAAAAATCGTGTGTTTTTAGTTTATTAATAAAGTCACGTCCAGACTTAGCAACAATCACATTTCCATGCCATAAAATCTATCTACTAACTACATTAACCTGCTAAGTTTTATTATAGCAAGCATGTGCGCATTATACTTAAGAAGTAGGTACGTACGTGAAATACATGTGCGTGACTTATTATGAGATTGAACTCAAGTAAAACCAGGCATCGCCGCGAAACAAAATTAAAATAATTGCTCTACAACTCACTGATTAATAATTGGTGAATAGTGAATAGAACAGATATGGTTTTTATGGGGTGTTGTTATCGCCGATGTAATAATTTTAAACTTTCAGAATTATAGCGAAAAACGGTCGCTACAACACCGTGCATTCAAGCTGATCTCTTGCAATTCACCATGTCCGATTTATAAAAAAAACTTTTATGATGAAGTAACAAGATTCATTATGAGCTAGTTAATTACTGCAAAGAGCAAACAAACTGAAAACACCCCGCAGATAAGTCAGTATGAACATGTGTGGAAGCATGTGCACATTACACTGATTTGATATGGTCTGATTCCACATACAAAATGGAAGCTGACCAAACTATCGGCCGACTAAGGCTAAGAACTCATGGCGCGATTTTCACCCGCGCCCGCGGCGGTTGCGGGCCCACACCGCGCGAAAACCGCCCGATCGGCGGGCGACCATTTTGTACTAATGACTTAGCACGCGACGCGATTTAAAATCGCGCCGTGAGTTCTTAGAATAAGTAACCGCGCAAAAAACCGCTCCCGGCTGTTTTGAAATAAAACCGCAATTCCACAACCGCCGCGGCGCGGGTGAAAATCGCGCTGTAAGTTCTTAGCCTAAAAGTCTGTAGCATAGGCTGCGGGGGTCTAAACATCCACTGCTATCAATCAGTACACTATGGGCCTCTTCGCTTCATGGGCGACATAATAAGATGGTGAGATAACAAAGAGAAAAGTTTTAGTTGCCGTAATACATAGTTTTTCTTTATTATCATTTACATTTGTTCCGTATTCGGCATTTTTTCAGCTAATCTACGAAATATTAACTACCTCTATCATCAAGTTAACCCAGCCCATAAATGAAAAGACAATATGTGAACAACACAAACATGCTACTTGTAAGTTTCGAGTTAGAGAATCGTGTCAAGCCCTGATACCTTCCACGTAAAGTACCTCTTAAGCCATGCGGATATTGGTACTTTACCGTAAATTGTAAGAGGGAAGCCTTCTTATTTTCCCTCTTACCGTTTGTATTCTTTTGGGCATGAAGAGTCAAAAACTCTGCCTCATTCGGCCTTCTTTAGATAATGTAAGTAATACCGATTTTATACCTCTAGGTATGTGCAATCAGCAGTACATTGCCCCGAATGTTTTTGTTATTAGATACCGTATTATTACAGTTAAGTGGGAATCATTGTCTGTCTGATGATGGTCTGCGCGGTAAGATCGCACATTGATACTCGCATCTTATTAACTATACCTACTTTATATTTATGTATGTTAGAGCAAAATAGTCTGGGAAAAAATGAGAAGATCATGTTATTATTTCAGAAAATATGTAGCTTATCAGTCCATCCATGTTTTGAAAAAACATTCAGGAAAGTTCATTAAAATACTTGCTGACAAGGTTCTTACTTATGCTGTAGATTAGTAAAGAAACGCAAAATGAACAAAATACTAACTTCACAATGCATTCATTAATCATTTCATATTTTCTTAATGTTTTAAATTTAAAATATTATTTTATTCATTTCAGCGAGAACACTAAATTCAGAAAAATTCACAAACTGAAAATAAATCACATTCTCACTTCAGCACCCCAGGTGATTCTTTTCGATATTTATTTAAACGTGAAATAAGTAACGTGTTGTAAGTTCATTCGTAGTTGTGTTGAGTTGCATAAGAACTGTGTGTCATCCATTAACTTTGATTGCACGAAAACGTTAAATTGTTTTGATCTGTTTACAGCTGTTTACAAACGACTCTACATTTGGTTTTAACTTTTACTGAATATTAGATAAGTAGTCACATAACACGTACACATGCTCAGATGTTTATATTGTTTTATTGCTCATGGATACCCATTACCATTCACTTAGCAATCAGCTCTCTCGACGCCAAAGAGAATGCACCAGTCTCCCTAATTCGGTACATCGACACTGAATAATTGAAAACAAACAAGTCATTAAACTCAAAACCAATCGATCACCTTGCAGAGGAAAGTGCAAGTGAAATTATATTTAGAAACTGTCAACATTGCCGTAGAAAGCATAAATAAGATGGCTGGCGTTAAATAAGATGGAAGACGCCATTATGCGCGCGCGCGGATTGTCATGCTCCGCGGTGCTCGGATAAAGGAGAAACCGTGGAACCCTTGGATCAAGATTAGTAAGTCTGACAACAAAGGGGTCACTAAATTTAACAATCTTGTAAGCATTAGGTAACGTATCTAATAGTTGTCTTTATAAACATAATAAGTATGCAATTGTTTGCTAAAATTCTCAATTTATGCCAATCTGTAAACGGACTTTATACATATTGTTTTATTTGACTGATATGCTGGATTTCCATAATTTCAAAATTATTTAACAGACTACAACACTAACAACACTAGGCTGTAATCGAATCCTTCTTAAGATTGATTTGTTAATTAATAAAAATATCATCTCTGTTCAGAACTCTACAACATCAAATTCACCTTTGGCGTTTAGGTATTCGTCTTTGCAAAAATGTTAGAAATAAAAACCTATGTATGTATGAGTATATGGCTGCAATTTCAATAGATTGTAATTAACTTTACACAATAACTTCTCGTACGCAGATCCTTCACGGCAACTAGCTCGTGCACGGTGTAATTGTGTTACAGAGAATTAGTGTTGTATGTTACAATATTGTTGGGTCCTGATTTTCCGGCAGATGTTTTTAACGGCCTTTAATAAGTTTTGAAAATAAAAATACGAGAATAAAATTGAGGGAAACGAATGAGACAATTCCATAACAACGAGATTTACAATACCTTTTTTTATGCATAACAAGGCAGGTATTTGACCACAATCGCACCTGATGTTAAGTGGGATGCGGTCTAGGATGGTACATATCTGCCCTGTAAGTGCCTATTCACTCTCGCCTTGAAGAGGCCCGGATTATAGTTTTCGAGAAAGACAGCAGCAAGCAACGAATTCCAGTCCCTAGCTGTTCGCATTGTAAAAGAGTCAAATACCTGTGCAAACAAAACAGTAAAAACGTTACAGATGTAGGTAATACTATTTTAGCGAAGACATATTATCACCAATAGCTATCCCCAGTACTACTCAACCGTCACTGGTTGGGTTTCATTGGAGGCCAAACTGTCGATCCGGTCTATACAGGAGTTTTTTTCTTGAAGCACCAACATAGTCTCTCTTAAAATTACTAAGACCTATAACTTAGGGCCTACAGTCTAGTTAGGTCAAAGGTTCAAACTCTTCTGTTAATTTACGTGGAGCTAGGAAAAGGCAATAGTTTCTACCTATCCAAGTAATAAATATCGAACCTAGGCATATTGTTAACAACACTAGTTAACTCAACGGAGCTCCACTGATCTCATTAAGCAGCGTTCTAAGCGCAGCTTCTAAACTTGACGGGAGCTAAGATGCATTGCAAAGACGCTACCTGTATTAAAGGAGAACATAGGTGTACTTACTTATATCAAAAGACATCGTTAGAAATATTATTAAAATGTAACGTTCATATCTCTAAACTGAGAAATCATAAGTC